GGAGGCTGCAGCGTTCGGCCTCCTAGGCGGCAGGAGAAGGAGAAGGACGGGGAGAAGGAGGAGGAGGAGGAGGAGGAGGAGGAGGAGGAGGAGGAGGAGGAGGAGGAGGAGGAGTCGGGAGGGGAAGGGAGGAGGCTATGGCGGAACACGGGCGGAGGTGTACTTCGGACGAGAAGTGTACGTGCCTGGAGGGGGGGGGAGGAGGATGAGGAGGAGGAGGAGGAGGACGAGGGGCTCCAGTTGGCCAGGTCGAGCGAGTCAGAGGGCCCCGCCTATTCCCACCCTCCCTTAGCTGCACAAACTGATTATTCCATTAGCTCCCTTAGGGCCCCTTAGCAATTAGCCCACCCTCCCTTAGCTGCACCCTCCCTTAGTCGAACTCGTTACCACGTAGCGAACGGAAGGCTCTCGCGCGCGGCCTCGCTCCCGACGTTTTGGCAAAGGGAAAGTTCCGCGGGCCGCGCAGCAGCGGCGGGAACGACCCAGACGGATCATGCTGCGTGGCCAGTTCTGGAAAGAAAGCAGAATGACTCGATTTGGCCTGCACCGCTTTCGACCCGACTGTGCTGCCATTGTTGGCGGTCGTGCACCCCAGGGGGCCGATGGCCAGCTGTTCCACTCGTGCGCCCGAGGGCGTCGATAGGGGGCGACAGGACAGGCAGCATGGGGAGGGAGAGAGCAGCACGGGCAAAGTAGCAGCAGGGAGTGGCAGAGCATCAGCGCTGTTGGCATCCACGTCCGAACTGCACTTCTAAAGTATAGAAGTCACATGTAGTTACATTTACATTCGTATATTGTACGGAAAAGCGCGGATCTTACAGTTTAGCTATTATCACTCCATGGTTATCAGCGTGAAGATCAGCGCGTTTCTGCTGTGGACGGGCTCCCGAAGGGAACGATTCTGCTGGCGCGGCAAAAGAGGAGCTCAGCCAGCGCAAGCTTGGGCGGGGAATCGTCTTATCACATCCTGTAATCAATGCTTGAGGCATTACAGGTGCCATGTGCTACGTTCTCTTGGGTACTGACTGAGAGCAGGCTGCGGGGGCAGGGGTTTCCGTAACCACTGGGTTCAAACATTGCCGGGCGCACGGGGCAAAACGGCTTTCCACGTTTCCTGCGTCTTGTTATCATCCCACAGCATAGTCTTGTTCGTCTCGAGTTCATGGCCAGTGGCCACAAGCTACCAAGGGGGTGTGGGAGGTCCTTCGGCCACTTTCGCCCCTTACGGCCCAGCACGAGGCCAAGGGCGTCCAACAATATCAAACCGTACCACAACTCTGGCTACAAGGATGGTGTCACCAAGCATTGGGGAAATTGTTCGCGCGCGCTTGGGGGTTGCAGATCGAAGGCCTGACACAACGATGCTCGATCGCGAGGTGTGCCAGATGGCCGCGCGTGACCTGTATGTGTGTTCAGCATGCTTCTTGTCAGGCCACCACGGTTGGCTGAGAGCCGAGGTGGTCAGCGAATACGCTTTCCGCGAGCAATGGTCGACCGGGTCTATCGCCCTTCAAAACAGTTTCAACACATATTCGCAGTGACAGAGATGTTCCACACGATTGGAACGCCGATTTGTTTTTGAAGGTAGACAGCGGTGACCGCGCAAGGCGTCGCCAGTGCCGTCGTGCTCGCCGTGGGCAATCGATTGCGATGATGGGGCAGGGAGCAGCAGCTTTCGTCAAGAGATTTGTAGTAGGTATCACCAGAGCTGTCTCTGCCTGGGGTGTGTCATCATATTCTTGGGGTCCGCAGCACGGCCTGCCTGCAATGACCGACGCAGACGCAGGCGCACGAGGAGTTGACTTGCATGGCCGCGGACGTACGGTGGATCCGGTCGAGCCACGGAGGCTGCCGATAAGGCTTTTAGCAGAACCAGCGCCGCCAGCAACGCTACCACCGCCACAACCACTACAGTCACTAGCAGAAAAATCGACGGCAAAGGCCTTATCCACCGTTCCGAGATCTCCCCGGAAATCCTCCATCCATTTGGATTTCCAGCCACGAAGGCTGGCCCACAAGGAAAAAGAAAAACGAGGTTTCTGAGTTGCGTGCCACAAGCCGAACATGAGCCACAGGGGATATTTCTTCACGGGCAATTGCAGTTCGCTCCCACGGAACAGTCGGGCGGCCGCCGCTGGCCACGAGCGCATCGTTGTGTAGGCCAGAGACCAGCATGAATTCAGCTCCACCCTTTCCCGCGCAAGGTCATCATCTTTCGCCGGGCCACGGTGCCAGGACAGCGAAGGCTCCGAGTTCGCTCGGCGCATCAGAGGTTGCGGAGCAAGCGGCCGTCGCAGAGGTCATGAGCAAACCCCCATCCGCTTCAGCGGCCAATCGTGCGGATAATTTGTCAAAGAGCAAGGACGTGATGACTACACACATGCAGACAAAGCAGGCGATCCACGTGTCTCTGCTGGATAAGCGGAAGGCGAACGAGAAGACAGCGGTTGTTTGATCATTTCCACCGCGTCTCACCAAATTTGAGCGCAGTCTCAGCAACGCTCAATGTGAACGTGCAGTTTGGGCAGTTGACAGGAGAGACATCAAGAAACTGCTCACCGCGCGCACGGCCTCCATTGAGGAGAAGGGTAGCCGGCGGCACGCGGGCGAGCAGCGGGATTGGGCGGAACAGGAGGGCAGCGGCGAGTTCTTTCAAGCCATGGGAACATTGCCATGGAGTACGGGTCTCCAGCAGACAGGGCTAAGCGGCCACAGTTGTGGGGGCCCGTCATGGACACGACCTTCAAAACCACCCGGCCAGCGATGCCCCATCAATGGAACTTCGTTGTCAAAGCGGCGGGGGGCGCGCGCCGCGGAGGATCAGGGCGCCGCAGAGGTTCGAGAACGTGGGGCTGCACCTGCATTCGCGCGGCAGCGCCGTCTAAGCTGGAGGGCGCAGCGACGCAAGAGGGGGCGTTGGGCCCGACACCGCCGCGCCGTGGGCGCCGTTCCATTTGTTTATTTGGGCGCAGCGGGGGGGGCCGGAGGAGCGCGACGCCATCCGCGAGGCCCCGCCCTGCCCGAATCCCCGCGCGCAGCCCCAAGCAGCGCGGAAAGAGCTGAGGCGGTGGTTCAGAAGTCAGCGATCGTCGCCGATGGGCGCGCATGCGCCGTCGCGGGGAATTCCCCATTGCGGGGCGCGCTCGATCCGCGCTGGCGCTTTCGAGCAGGACGGCTTTGCAGTCTTCGGCCAACGCCTGAAGATCGAGCAGAAGCGGCTCTGCAGAAGATGAGCTCGCAGTTTTGGTTCTGCGCGGGGCAGAGTCCATCGGCGCCTCCTCGCCCAGACGCAGCGCGCCAGGGAAAAGGGCAGAGAAGTCGGCTGAAAAGGGCCGGGCTTCGGGGGCGCGAGGGGCAGGGGCCGCGGGCCCGACTGCCGCGGCTACTCCTGCGGCCCGCTTGATCGGCGAGGACAGTTTCGCATTCTCAGCCCCGGCGCGCCGGCCGCCGGTTCGCCCGGCGAGGCCCCCCTGCCTAAGACGAGGGGAGACAAAAGCGCTATCCAATGCTGCGCACTGCGCGGGGGCACAGGACGCACCAGTCGCGATTGCGTCTGGCCCGGCGGAGGCGCGGGCGGGGGGCGGGAACGGCGCCGGGGCGAGAGCAGGAAGAAGAAGGAAGAGGCTGTCGCGAAGGGCTAGAGCACGGCCGCGGGCGAGACCGCTGGGTCGGGCGGGAAGCGGCCCGGGGGGGGGGGGGGCGGGGCCCGCCGAAGACGCGGGCGGCGAGCGCGGCGAGGCCCGCGCGAAGACTCGCCGCGCGCCAGCGGCGCCCGCCGCTGCAGCCGAGCTGCCTCTGAGAGCGGTCGGCGTAGACGTCGGGCCCAACGTCTGGCTGCAGCGCAAGAGCCCGGGCAACGACTCTGCCACCTGGGCCGAGGTGTTCAATTTGGCCGACGGAGGCGCGACCTCGCGCGAGGCGGCGCTGGCGCCGAGAAGGATTCCGCGATCGCGCGTCCGCCGCCGCCCAGATGGAGAGAACGCTGCATTGGCCCCGTGGGGGTCGCCGACAGAGAAGTGGCGCGGGGTGCCACAATTGATCGAGGAGTAGATGGGGGCCGCGCTGCAGGGCCTGATAGCCGCGAGCGCGCCGGGCAGGTCAGCCCCGGCCGCCCGGGAAGGCCCCGGCATCCCGCGCGGCGCGCAGGCCGCCAGGCTGCGCCGAATCGTCGGCCCACCCACGCCTCCGCAATCCTGGCGCACAGGGGGCCCTGGCCGCGTAAATGTTCCTGGTCGGCGCGAGATGCCGCCGGATTTCGCGCTGCGCTTGGCCCGCGGGCGCAGGGCCGGCCAGCCGGGATTTTACGGGGGCCTTGCGCGCGCAATGTCCCACCCCACGGGCATCTGGGAGCGCCGCGCGGGCAACGCAGCGCTGGCGGCGACGGCGAGGCGCAGAGACATGACTCGAACAGTTGCCACCGCTTTGGCGCTGCGCTGCATCTGCGGCGACCCCGGCGGCGGCCGCGCGTCCATCGCGCCAGTCAGCGCGCGCAAGTGCTGCGGCTGCGTTGCGAGGACTTCGCGGTGAAGGGCCCGGCCGAGCAGTCATGCGCCTCTGAATCAGGAGCGGGGCTAGTGCTGCGCGCGGCAACGCGGCCAAGATTGCGACGGCGGGGAGCGGCGAAGTTCGACGTGAAAAGGAGCTTTCGCGCACGCCCCGCTCCCCGAGGAGACGTTGGCCGTGGCGGGGCCGCCGCGCGCGCGGGGGACATCGGGCGCCATGCCGCCCGGTGCCCTCTGGGCTATCCGCCGCGCTGTATATGGACTGAGACGTGCGCCTCGCTGTCGGGGCTTTGGGCGACTTTCAAAACTGCGCTCCGCCTTGCGGGCGACGAGCAAGAGGGAGTCTTTTCGAGCAGGGCAAGGGGGGTCGCGACGGGGGCCACGTGCTGCTACGCGGACGACTTATTGTTGATGTGTCTTGCTGGGCAGATGCGTGGCAATTTTGGATTGCTTGGGGGGTGCGCGGGCAATGCCTATTGCGGTGGAGCTGGGCACGTC